CAAAAAAAACTGTTTTTTTACGAAAAGACACAACTCTACGATAATATTTAATATTTTTTTTTAATTTTTATTTACGAATAAACTGCATCTTACGAAAAGACACGACTCTTCGAAAGAATACTATAAATTTTTGTTTTTTCGGGATTGCTATTATTAATAGATTAAATTTTATAAATAAACACAAATTACTCGAGAAATAGATATGTGACTCTAACAAGAACTTGTCAATCAATGTAAAAACATGATAGAATGTGATGGTATTGTATACAATGAGTTGTTTACCTTTGGCACAGCTCCACCGGTTATGTATTGGGTGGATTCGTCATAGTAGTGAATGAGTTCCATTGCGGTTCCAAGAGCTTTTTGTCTTATGAACTTATTGAAAGGCCATCGATTTAAAATATTCTCCGAAAACATATGAGCACTTTTCCAAAACAAATCTTGTACAAATGACTGTGGATAGTATAGATCTTCCTGCATAAATTATCATCACATTTTTTTGGTACCAATTAACCATGATATATATACTTATCAATACTGCAAGAAATTTTATACATCGCTAGCACTCCATATATGTGACTTAAATTTACCTTTGCGCATTGATTGCGAGCTTGGCTCCAAACAATTTCCGCATAAGGCTGAGGATAAAGCTCTTCACGAAGAGCTAGAATAAGAGGTGTTGGTGTAGGCACAAATTTTTTACCATACAAATAGGACATTGCCATGAAAGTATCCCGTAAATAAATCCACAATGTGCCTGCATTTATTTGAACATATATAAAAAATGAAAAGTTTTGTCAGAGGCAATAAGTATTTATAAAAATTAATTTTGAATAATACACCCAATTTTAAAGGATTTTAGAAATAATCCTTTACTATGAAATCTACAAAAATTTATGTCTTCATTTATTATTTAATTCATTATGACTTAAACAAATATAGCCTATATATATATCAAAAGATATTACGTTTTGGCAAAAATCATAGATTCTCATATAAAATTAATGGTTTATTTTAAATTTATCGATTTTAAATCGAGAATACAAAGTCAATATAGAGACAGTATTCATTCAGATTTGTAGGACTGTGAGTTATAGTTACATTTTTTGTCAACTTTTGCTTTTATTACTAATTTATACTCCTTCTGTTTCATAATATATGATGTTTTGCCAAAAACACAAACATTAAGAAATTTTTTTTTTTCAAAAAGTAGAATTTAATATATTAATTAAAACAATTCAACCAACTATAAAAAAAACTGCAAAAGATTATTGGTCACACAGTTTTTAATAAAACTAAAAATTACTTTAAACATCTTATATTGTGAAACAAAAAAAAACTCTAAAAACATCCAATTTTATGAAACGGAGGGAGTAATATTTATATGTCGTCATTATAGTTTAGGTAGATTAGTTTATAAAATTTCATAATCATGTTTCAAATTAAAATACTATTTTTGAAAGAATCTTCCTTAGGTTTATCTTTTAAAAAGTGCATTTATTAATTTTTCCCAACAATATCAATCTGAAAATATATCGTAACATGTGCATCAT